TTTAAGTGCGGATTCGTAATCAGCGTGAAAAACTGCGTCTAATGATGTATTTTTAAGCATTGCTCAAGTTAAAACAACAATTCGAACCTTCGCATCCGAAGGTGGACCGTTAGCTGGCCACGCCGATCACCTATATCTAGAAACTATTGAAAAACTATGTAAGCTCAAAAGTTTATGTGCAGTTTTTTATCTTTTTTAGACTTTAGAGTAAATTCTCTCTAAGAAACAATGTACTTTAAGACATCTTCGACTTTAGTTACCAGATAAGCTTAAGAAACGTATCGAGACAATTGATTTAAGTTTTGATTTGCGCACGAAAAGCCTTGATGAATCGCAGTTCTGCTAACAAAAATATACAGTAATCTGTAATTTATTAGGAAACTTGTTTTCAATGTTATTGACAACTTTGAAAAATCGAAAAACATTTTTTCGTGAAACCTCTTAGCTGTATATGGTTATATATGCATTATGTGAAAAAGAGATGCGTATGTTTATAGACGGCCAAAAGTTCAATGGTATTAGAATGTTAGATGTCGACAGGTTCAGTACGAACGTGACTTAGTTACCTGTACTATAGCAGACGTTTCATATTTAGACTTCAGACGATTTATCTCGTAATTGTTGTCTTCTCTATTTAGTTATTTATAATCATCCTGTACTACACCAGTTCTTTAGTAGAGAATGTTATCACTATCTACAAATGCTAAAAAAACATACGACTTGGAAATATTGTATCCAGTATTGATTACGTTCATAATTATACAATTATTTATTAACCTTTATGATATAGAATTTAGTAATCATCAATTATTTCATTTAATTCTATATGCAATATCAACATTTTATTATTTAACATATTTACTAGAACCTTTATTTCCATATTTAGACCATTTTTTTACTACCTGTTTTATCTACTGGAATCTAATTTTAATTGAAATTTATTTTGTATTTATAGCAAATTCAGATTTGTATTTACATCGATTTTATCTTATACTATTTTCATCGTTTAGTTCCATATTATATCACGATTTTATCAGTAGTTTACTTCCGAATAAAGAGTGGAATATCCTTTGGATAATAGCTGTTACTGATCTGTTCTTACAAACCAATTTCATTTTTCATTTATTCTCGCACTCGGTGGCCGACAGACTTTTTATTTGTAAGCCAATATTGCATGTTATACTATAAATTCAGACTCGCATAGAATTGTTGAGTGTACAAAACTCTTCTTTCAAGGATCAATGAGATAGACAGTCTGCAGTAGGTGGTATATCAGGCGTGGATGTCCATAGATAAATTCTGTCAGATATTTGGCAAAAGTTAACGAAAACTCCAAGTCTCTATCTCGCTTACAAGTTAGCATAGACTGCAACTTGTGTACCTCAAACCGACAGAAAAACTGAAGAAAGGTACCTTCAAATTTATTAACTTTTTAATATGGAAAGTCGCCAGAATAAACACTAATTTCACAGCGAAGGGGATCTTTTTTTCTATATTCTTCATTTAATAATAGATGCTGATTATAACAAGAGGATAGTGTGTTTTGGTCGACTACTGCATGCTTGAGACCACTTTTTTTGATGATTATTAATTAGATGTAAAAAGTGGTCTTAATTTGGAATACAGCATTTGTTCTTTTCACATACTTTGTACACTATTTATAATTTCGAATCACTTTTTAATTAGGAATGATTGGCTACTGTACAAACACAAAAAAAAGTAGGACAGTTATATTTTAGGACCATACTCATCATCATCTTTAGAATTAGAATCATTATCTAACACACTGTGTTAGATAATGGCTACCGTTATATAGTGACTATATAACGGTAGCTATGGTTGTCTAATAGAATCAAATACTGGAATCGTGATAGCATTTCCATTCTTCCTTCTCTAAAAAAAATATAACAACTCTTTAATTAATGAAATTAAATTAATTTGATTAATGAAAACTCACAAAGTACTAATTTTTTCACTTGTTGATCATAAATTTGAGGTATTGGAGTTGTTGGTTCTTCTAAAACATGTTTTCTGACTGAACTGACACAATTTAAAATAATCTCCGCTAATTTTGGATCATCCATTGAATAATGAGTGCCATTATCATCAATACCACTACTATCAATTATGACATCATCTTCTATTGTTATTGAACACGAACAACAATTACGGTACAGACTCATTTTTTAGTTTCGTTTTTATTTGAACGTTTTAACCGATATAAGTAACTTTTATATAATATACCGTTCTGTTTTTTTTCAGTTTTGATACAAGGAAAATGTAGAGTTGTAGACATGATAGGATTCGTAGAAAACTTCGAGTTGAAATATTGTGTTTCAAGGTAATGCTCTTCATTTTTATAGTCTCACCCGATCCAGTAATGTCGCTCTCAGCTCAATTTAGTTTTAAGCATCAGTTTTGATAAATATTTCAATCAGTTTCTGTCTGTATAGTAGCCAATCATTCCTAATTAAAAAGTGATTCGAAATTATAAATAGTATACAAAGTAAGTGAAACGAACAAACGCTGTATTCCAAATTGAGACCACATTTTATTTGTATAAGAAACGAGAAAATATATGTATTCCAAATTAAGACCACTTTTTAAATCTAATTAATAATCATAAAAGAAAAGTGGTTTCAATCATGAAGCCTCGAAATTAAGATTTAGAACAAGCTCGTGAATGCTCTGTTTTGTTGATTGCATGTTTAATCATAGTATTGGCCATGGTTGATTTAGAAATATCAAATATCTTGGCATACAGAAGAAATGTTTATTTTAATGTGGATCTTTGGTCGGCGTTAAGATAGAGGAGAAAGTTTCTGGAATTGAATCAGACGAAATGGTCGCTGACGTTTGAAGATATTGGCTGTAGTTTCTATTTTATTTTGAATGATGGTAATTGTTTGCGATCCTGCATCCATTTTCATTTGATATTTACTGATGTTGTCTTGACCGAGAAGACACGGAGCACAAAGACGTTTTACAATGCGGCATGCATCGATTTCGATCACTCGAAATCGAATTTTTTAGCACACATTTTAGTAGAGAAGAATGAATAAAAAGTTGTTGGTGATGTTGACTTAGTACCAGAGTTGAATGCTATCTCCTCTGTCTCCTCGTGCCTGCCTATCAGAAACTTCAGACTTACTCGTATTGGATCTGAATTAACCAGGCTCATTCCCCAGTTCGAGTCTATTTTTCTATTAAGTGGTGGTGCCCATTCAGCAACACAAACGAAAAAAGCTTGATTTCCAGCGAAAAATGTTTCTATATGTGAAAAAGAAGAACTCATAACAGTGCCAATATTGTACCAAAATTTTCATTTTCTATAGAACCAACACCAAAGAGTCTTGGTCTTGGTAAATGTATATAATCAGGCAGGTAGCTTGAAGTTAGAAATTTCTTTTTTTCACAGATTATTAATTTTTTAAGCGAAAGAAATTGAATAATCGATGTTCGATTATTCGAAATCGGTGCATGCCTATTTATAATGTAAGCAGATATGTCTGTAGTTATTGAATGATTTCTGATTTGAAGTTGGACGACTCCGAGGACTTCAAGTGGTGTTTGTCCATCTGCTTGATGTCATTTCCACGAATAATTGCCAAAATATTTCTTATGGCGAAGAAAGAGCTTTTGGTGTTATAAGTGTATTGGTTGCTTCAGTGTCTACCATAATGCGCATGGCAGTATTATTTACAAAGGATGAAATAAATATTAATGATAGATTTATGATGTTATTATTATCAAAAGCATTACCATCCGATGCATCCGTTATTAAAAATGTGGGTCTCGTCTATGGCCATAGCCACGAGCAGTCCAATCAAATGAATGATTTCTTCTTAGATTTTGACTGTGTCAGAATTTGAAGATGAACAATGTGTGTGCATGTGAAAGTGAGACGAAATTTTGCGAAGAATCATTATGGAAAGAGTGCAGGAAAAAAAGCGCATTTACCACCTCAAAACTTCAACCTCTTTTCTGACAAAAGTCAGCGCGAAAAAATCATCGGCTATTCATAAGGTTTTGATTCAAATGTAAAAAACAAGTATTTCTTCACCTAACGTGTTCATTTTCACAAACCAAAAACAGTGCCGATAGTACAAGGCGTACCATCTTTATCGTTTGGGAAATAAAATCGCTCATGTTTAATTTAAAACTATATTCTTCTCCATTCTGTTTTGTTCTTCTATCCATTTTATA